GTATGTGTTATGGCACTTCGAGTTGATAGCCGTCAAGAGTCATGAATTTGTGCGTTTTGCTTCGTTCAGATATAACATTATTTTTTAATATAATTACTAAAGATGGAGTCGAAGTTAACACACTTATTTTTAAAAATGATTTTAATATAGCACAGATACTCTGTGCAACATACAAGCTTCATTATGTATGTAAGTTACTGTTCTTTTACAGCACGTATTAAATTAAAAAATGTAAGGAAGGGCTAAGTTCGGGTGTTACTGAACTTTTTATACTCTTGCAACTTGCAAGGATCAAAGTCGGAGAAATAATTTTAAGTGTTTGCAAAATTTTATATTAAAAAATTTTACGTAAAAATTCAACATTCATTATTCGCCGGAGTCTTGAATGGATTACAATCAAATTTGGTATATTATTAACTTATATTATAGGTAATAGATTCACTTAGTTTTATTAATATATTTTTAATAGCGTCATCGAAAATTCAAATTCAAAAATCATCCTCAAATGAGAAATATGTTATATAAACTCAACTGAAGAGGCTAAATTTAATATATTTAGTTAATGTGGAAAACGTCAACCAGAGGATCGGAATTATTTACATTAGGGAAATAAGGTTTAGACCAAGTTCTAGACCAATTCCACATACTCAGCTTGAACCACATAATTTTTAAGAAAGCTTTTCGACATAATTTCATTAAAATATCACAAATTTTGACCAACCTAAACCGTTTAAATTCAGGTGGAAGGTCGGAAATCAGTATATAGCGTATATAGGGGACAGAAAAAAGTCTGGATTTGTTGCGTAATCTTTTGGCTTTACTCAGGGAGTATTCGGGAACATATTTTAAAGCAATTTTATAAATAAAAAAAACATACACTGCATATTTGGTATATGGGTTGTTAGAATAACGAAAAACATTATAAGTAGTATATGGGAGTTGGGGTAATTCGTAGACCAAGTTCAGATAGTTTCGGCATTATAATATAGTGTATTAAATACGTTCACCTAATTTTGCTAAGATATGTTACTTATTGACCGATTTATACGGTATAAACCCAACCGGAAGTTTTAAAATCTTATATTAGGTATATGGGAGGCTAATAGAAGTGTTGCCCCAATTCAACCCATTTTCGACATGCAGACATTTCTTCATCAGGCATTTTCTCGATTTTCTCTAAAATTTCAATAATATATACCACCGATATTTTCGGTAAAAAATTAGCAATAGGCACAAAAATATCAGCGCATTTTGTGTAAACACTGTAATACATTAAGTCAAAACCACAAATTATATTAACATATTTGTGATTTGTGTCTAGGTATATGTATATTTCCATATGCACATTCGCTTTTGATATGTACATATGTATGCATATTCATATATTCTTATCAATATTAATTCCAACAAATTCGAATTTTGTGTCCATACTGTTCGAGATAATTTCACTCAACAGGAACGTGTAATATTCCCGTACGGCCTGATGTCGTCTGTTTGTAAATATTGGTTATGTATAATTTGGAAAATTTCGTTACTAATATATTTATTTCATTTAAAATAGTATCTCACCGAGATATAGGTTCCAAAATTATAGAATCTGCTTAGGAGGCCGATGCCTTATCCATTAGTCCACTGGGGCTCATTATATAATATAATATGATATTAAAAACGATTTTTGTGGAACATCATCATTGCCTGTTAAGAGTACATTACCAATAAATAGGACATTAATTGGGTGGACGATCGATATACAATGCGCATGGGAGAGAAAGAGGAATACTTAATGTATGTAAATATATGCACATGCAGAAATAAGAAACATGTGTTAAAAGTAGATCATTACAATGGCTATCTTGCCTGTAACCAAGTATGCAGGTACCCGTAAAGCTGAAAATAATACATAAGCAGAAGAACTCTTTACAAATACATCAAAGATATACAAACACATTAGAAGTTAAAGTTAAAAATTCAGTGAAAATAAATTTCTGTATTTTCGTTTTTTTAAGTTACGACCAGAAGACAGTATTGCAAGTCAATTACAAGTGAAAACAGTTTGATGAATGCAATATGTTTTACTACTTTATTGAGAAATGTGCAAACATACGTATGTAGGTACATGATATAGGTACATACCTATACACATGTACGTTCGTTAAACAAAGTGTTTGCATTAAGTACATAAAGAAACAACCTGTAATTTCTCCAAAAAAACAAAAAGTATTCAGTCAGATCAGTATGGATCAAAGTGGCAACACTGGTTCATGCATATTTACGTATGTTTTTATGCAGTATTGAATGTACGTGTGTATGTACATACATGCAAAATAGTATAACTTATTACAGTAAAATCTCCGATAAGCGGACACTGGTAGGATCAGCCTCAATATTTTTCAGTTGCTCAAAAGCCTGGTAGTTATCTCTTGCAAATTGTTTAATGCTCTTCTTTCCCCTTCTGAGTTGCTGCTGTTTTAATTATCAAAATTTATGAATGTAGACAATTCTACTTCATTCACTTTTAGTATCTCTTAAGAAGGGGGAATCATTTCTGGAAAAAAAAACTCGTATTATTTGCGCCAATGGCAAATCATCGTCAGAGTCACTACTCAACCATCTAGTTTTTACGAATCCCGCTTTGTGAAAACAGTTTTGTATTGTTTCAGCTTTAAATTGTTTCCAAAAATTTTTGATAAAATATAAATGCTCCAACACGTTGATTAATTCTGCAAGTTCTGTGGCGCTTTTTGAACTCTCAGTTTGAGACGATACTTCTTTTAATATGTTGCGATAATGCAATTTAAAGTTTTGTATTATGCCTTGATGAAGTGGTTGGCAAACAGAGGTTGTGTTAGCTGGCAAAAATATTCACTTTATATTTTTGAGTGTAATGTCTCTGGTATATGAAGTGGCGTTGTCTAAAAATAGCGAAACCTTTCTTCTCTCACTTATAATTTTTCTATCTCACGGGTCATCATTCATTTCATTTCATTTAACTTTAAGCTACTTTTCCAATAACTAATATCTGCTGCTTTTAACCACCCATGCTTACAATAAGTAAAACTGTTAAACGTTCTTTGGCTAGCTTGCCACCTACACAAGTTTCTCCTTTAAAAGCCAAGGTCTTTTTAGCAGAGCTCGATAAGAAAGTCCATTTTCATCCAGGTTATACTTGTAGATGTCTTCTGGTCGATAACCAAATATCATCGTAGGTATTATTCGCTCAAACTGCTCAATATCTTCTAAATACACTGAGCCCGCTCCGCCTAACATTTCAGAAATATATGCATACATGTTCGTACATATTCGGAATAGTAAAAGTTTAATTCCTTGCCTGAAACGCATTTGAAATTGACGTTGTTTTTCTTTTTCCACTTCTGAAGCCAACCATCTGAGACATTAAAATTATTTACACCTAGCCTTACATTTGGTCCTAATATTGGAATTCTTGTATTCCTTTGCTGTGCAAACCAATTTAGACAGAGCTTGTCTGTTTGTGACCCAGTAGAATCAAGAAATGACCGTTTGGTGCTTAAATTTCCGTCAGGGCACCAATTTAATTCTAATTTATGTTTATTTTTTCATATTTCAGCATCTTGGGTTGGCTGATCTTGAATTTTTTTGCTACTTTAAACCGACAGATTTTCTTTAGTGACAGCATTAAAAACTTAAAATTTTCTCTTTATAGACAACACATTTTTCCGACCCATTCTTACTTCTTTAAGGTACTTCAGCGTACTGCAGTATTGATTTCTCGAATTATTATGCATACAAGTATGGAAGGATTCCCCAAATTATACATTTGATTTTTTACAGTTACAAATACATACATATGCATATGTGCACGGTTAATGGAAATGTCCGCTTAATAGAGCGTCCGTTTAATAGAGCTTTCACTTTTTATAGAATAAAGATTAAGATAATAATGCAATCAACGTATAAATATTTTTACTGCACACTTTTAAATTTATTAGATAATTTTCTATTTTTGATAAGAACTCCTTCAACTGCACATAAGAAAACACTTGAAATAATAAAAAGGAAATATCAGATTAATAATTATTCAATTATTTTCCGATAAAACTTTGCAAGATTATTTATTTTTAATTTAGATTTAACTAGCATTTCCATTTTCGAGCAGATTTTACAAATTAAAACTATTAATTTTGTACTTAAGTAGTTTATAAAAAAATCAGAATACATTTTTTAAATGCAATATTTTAATTACAACCTTCGCATGAATAGGAGGAATTATTTAGAACCGAATATATCTTTAAGATAAATGATGAAGTATGAGAGCTTGTTTTGTAGCGTAGAAATATTAGAATTGTGGTTTGGTTCAGAATAAACATCAAATATTTTCTTTCGAGGAAGCTAGTGCGCAAACAATGTTTGATACATTAGACATATGTATGTATGTATATACGATTGTTGCTTAGATTCGATTCCTTATACGTGTACTCAATTGAAAGGTTTGATATTTATTTGCAGCATACGACACGATCTTTTTTAACCACTGCAATCAAACCCGAATTGATGGCCTAATTTTCATGTATTCTAATAGGCCAAACCAAACAAGATAGTTTCTGCATTCAAAACTCTTTACTAATTTTACATCAATTCCGTAAATATGTGTGACATATCTACAATCAAAACCATACCATTGTAGAGAGAGGAAAATGTGGATGATGCCGATATTTTAACTTTTACCATTTTGAAGGCTAACTACGAAAAAAGGAAAGAGCTTTGTTTACTACTCTTAATCTCTAGAAAAAAAATTAGATCGCTTAAATACCCAGAAAAAGTTGGTTTTTCCGTATAGTGCTATAAACGTTTAACAGCTGAATCCAATCGAACTTAACAAAGTGCTTTATATTCTATGTTATTTTAATTTTCGTCAGTACGCATGTCCACTGAGCACCCCTTTGATATACTTACTATCTCTTTTGCTCTTGTTAATAAATCTTGAACTTTCAATAAATTTTTAACTGTGGTAAATATTTCAACAATTGCTAATAGATTTTAATATTCAATATTTTTCTTACGTAGTCCCAATTTAATATTCTACTGGTATCTTCCTTACATCCTGCTGTCAAAGAATCATGTCATCAGAAAAATATTCTAGGTCCACTCCACATAAAGTTTGTAGCAACCGCTCCATAAGAAACTTTAGCAAACACATTTCCACACACATTGTAACAAATGTGCTATACATACATATGTAGTTATGTAGTTACCTCGAAGTGTGACGTTTCAATTTAGCAAAATTTTGATTTCCATGTTGCCATTATTTTTTTGTTCATTTACGATGCAACTGTGTTGATTCATGTCGCCGTTGCCTTGACGAACACAAATATTAGTTGCAGAATATGTTGCATCAACACGTATGGGTAACAAAAGTTGAAGAAAAATTATAAAAGCTCATCCAAAGGGGAACCACTCCATTTTCGCCCGAGGAAGACCGAATGCATACATACATATGTATGTACTTAGTAAATACCACGACGAAAATTATACTAGCAATGGCTATTACAGTGATAACTGGAAGGAGTTGTGGTGGGGTGAAAAATACACAAAAGGAAGTCACACGATTTCGCGGCGTATCGATGTGCTGGTGTCGAACCGGTTCTTTAAGCAGTTGTACAATAGCCAAAAAACGCAACATTAGTATCCGTGTGGTGCCGACAACCATGGCATTTAATAGTTCACAGCCACTCGAAGAGTTGAACCCGAAGTCGATTTAAAATTTGAACATGTTCTGAGGAAATGCTACTATCAATAGTATTGCAAATTTTAGTAAAATAACAAAGGTAGGGCGGAAACTGATAATATCTATATGCTTTTCCTTTTTCCACCTGTTATGGGCTTTTTAATAATTTCACACTCGCCATCGAATGTACAATTTACGTCCCTCTCATTGTAGGAAATATCGCACAACAACATAAATAAATACGTACGTTTAAACATAAATAATTACTGGAACAAGTGATCAACTTTACCAATCAGGCGTTCTCAAGCAGCAACATCGAACGAATAAACAATTTTAAACAACCAAATAGTATTACCGTCGCAATACCATCCAACCGACTCTAACGAACATGCTCCACATGAATGTGCATATGTGGAGAGTACAAATACATGTATCATATAAAACTCCACCTCTTCTCTAAACAAGACATTTGCCGTTTGAGTAAGAAATAAGAGTTTATCGGTGGCTGCTTCTTTGCATCATAATTTGCTCCGGTTTTGCATGAACTTCGGGCGACTCACATCAACATTTCGTTCTTTCGTTGTTCGTATCATTCTATATAGCAGGTTAACGGCCACAGTGTTTCGGTATTGAGTACTAAGTCTAGTACTCTGGAATATTGGCGCGTATGACTGTGTGCGAACGATTAAACTTACTATATTCGATGGTTCGTCGTGGGTGTACCAATAAAACAATTCACTTTCCCTTACATACAGTGCATATAACTTCAATGTAGACTATATAGGTATACATAAGTATGTATGCTATGAGTGGCAGTGAATAGCCGAATGAACTCGTTAAAAATCTTAACATGTACTTAAGTATATTATTTTCATGAAATAAGTGTGTATACATAAGTATATAGAGTAAATAACAATCTCATATTCAAATAATTAAGAAAATTGATTAGTAATTATTTACGCATAATGTTTACCTTGTTACAAAAAAAAACTATTTCCAATATTTCTTATACATACATATCTCTTGTATATTTTCTTTTTTTGAATTGACTTCAACAGCACAACTACTACAGTTATGTACATACATATAAGTATATATAAAATCATTTTCTATAAGTACATGTACATACATTTGACTTTGTGGTTACTAGCATTAGTATTCATTTCAAACGATTGATAGAAATTTGTTACAACATTACAAGTATAATTAACTGGTAATATATTTCAGGACTTTAATGGAACTTAAAAAATTACAGTTTTTAATAAATTGTCCCAACAAATTCACGTTAAAGTGAAAAAGTGAATAAAGAACAACTTGCTAGAAAAATTTAAAAAGGGAGTTCTCGAATTCATATTATTTCGTTTGAATTATATAATACTTTGCGACACATAATAGAGTTGCGAGAGTTCGAGTTAGAACGAAGTTGTACATATGTCATTTACTTATTTGTTACTATAATTCAAATTAGTTAGTTATAGAAAACTTGTAAATTCGAATTAAGTTTTCCTGGTATGTGTATTATCATCCTCAAAACTTGTTTTTGGGCAGCATCGTTGTTTTACTTAGTCCAAAAAACATTCAAAAACAAATTTTTTATGGTAGATATGGCAACACTATTCTCTGTCGTAAAATAAACTGACGTACTATGCTCATCATAACAACGACCGAACTCTGTTCAACTCACCAACGAATGTAGCAGCCAGTAAGACAGCTAACTCGTTTTATGTATTTTTAGCTTCCTCTACGTCGTTGAGCTAGTCAGTCATGGATGTTAGAGCGGTAGAGTTCTCCAGTTTTTCTTTTACTGATATGCAATTTCATGACTCATTTCTCATTCAACGAAACTCAAATTCAAACATGAAATAATCGAGTATATACGTATGTATATACTCATATCATACTAAAGAGGCTAGGGTATAGAAGATGCATTATGTTCTTTATTCTGTGGAATTTTTACAAGAAATTATGAAATGTATAAATATTTATTTCAATTCTTTTGCAAAATATATACATAATTAAAAATGAATTGATTAGTTGTGAACCATAAAATAAAGTTTTTTTTTTTAATTTAATACGTTTATTAAAAAATCAATATTCCTTTCTAATGATTTTAAATTGTTTATTTACAGTTAATATTAAAATTTATTATACGCAAATATGCTACTCAGGTGGAGACTATGAGGACTCTATACTCACTGGACGATGCACATCATTTAAATTTTCCGAAAACCGAACAGAAAAAAATATGATTATGAATGTCTATTTGACGATTCATTGAATCTTCCAAAGATTTTGACGTTCAAATTTGATGTGATAAGTGATTACATACTTAAATTACTTAGGTTATTTTTGTTTTATTCGTGTTCGACGCCCAATGTTCGGACCTCAGAGGTCAGAGGACTAGTGCGACGCGAAGGCGACGATAAAATCGCATCAGAAATTTGTATTTATGGATGCTGGAGGTATCCCTGTGTTTCAGAGCGCCAGCCAGGCAGCCGTCGCAGCCCAGCAGCAACAGCAAAAGCACCAGCAGCAGCGTCAACAACAGCTCAATTTACAATTGCAACAACAACAGCATTTACAACACCATCAGCTACAGCATCAACATTCAACTTTAGGGTTGCATCTACAGCAACATCAGCAATTACAATCGACGCAGCAACAATTACATAATGTGCAGCAGCAACAACAAATACAGGTGCAACAACACCAGCAACATCAGCATCAGCATCAACAGGCGAATACACAACAACAACAATCCCAACATTCTGCGTACCATACAGCACCAGGAGGTGCGGGTGCGGGAGGCGGAATTAGCTTTGGCGGCAACGGAACTGGCGGCCCTACAGGTGCGACTGGAGCAACAGCTTCAACAGCTGGAGCTTCTAGCGGCATGGGTGGGCTCATCGGCGTCAGCAATAATATCAACGGACCAACTGCCGGCAACCAGACCATCAATCAGGGTAGCTGCGGTCCCGATGTTGTTCCTGCAAAGAGGCAGCAAATGGTTGATCGACTTAGACGACGAATTGAAAACTATAGACGTCGACAGACGGACTGCGTACCGCGCTATGAACAAACATTTAATACAGTATGTGAGCAACAAAATAGTGAAACAGCGGCGTTGCAAAAACGATACCTTGAGAGCAAAAATAAACGCGCAGCAAAGAAGACTGAGAAGAAGCCCACAGATACGGCGTCGGCTGCGGCTGCAATGATGGCAGGCAATCTGCAGAGCAGTGTACATGTGGTAAGTTTTGTATATTTCTAATCAATCTCTATACAAAGAAACGAAAAATATATCAAGAAAATCTACAATGCGTTCAAAAAATAACGTTTTTTTAACGTGATCAATTCGTGGAAAACTGTTTTAATTTTTCATAAATTACCAGGTGTTCATTTGCGATAACTGACGCGTACAATTCGGTAATTTTTTTCGATCTTCTTTAATATGTCACGTCGTGCCGTGAAATAAGAAAAATGAGTGCTCAGTATACATATATATTTAAAGTATAAGTGTAAGTAAAGTGAAAACGTAGATGACAAGCCAGAAGAAATCACGTAACATCTAAAGGTGAGAACAAAGCTGTTGTTCTTCACTTTGAGAAGAAACCACTGCTCAGTCTAAAAAAGCTAAACAGTTTTTTGTTTAAAAAGCGATTAGACATATATACACATAGTATAGGAGACAAACTTCAGAGATCTGTCATCAAACGCCCAATTACCGTAACAAACCCCTACTTTGAAAATCACACACTGAAAAAAGGTTTCCTGCATCGAGCACAGGAAAACAAAAACAGAAGAAAATAGGAAGATTAGAACAAGTAAAGATTAGAAGTCAGCTATACCAAAACAATGTATTTTCTATAATAACAACATTTTACCCAACAAACGAAAACGTTATTTTTTGAATGCACCGTATATATTCCAAAAATGTTTTCATTAGTATTTGCTTAGATTTAATGATCGTTATTTCTTAGAGATTTGAATAGTACCCCTGTTAATTTTGCTATTTGAGTTTTTTTGTGTATTGTGAAAATATGTAAAATTCAGTTTTTTTTTTAAAGAAACAGGAAATGATTTCAATGGTCATGCATTATAAAAACATTTTATACGAGAAATAGCCCCTGAAATGGGTATGAATGATTGGAATATGCGCAAAGTGATTAAAAATTGTATTATATTAATTTTAACTCTCTAGCTTAAAATAACACAGTGTGTCGTAGGAGGAGTGAGCGTTTTCTGAAAAGCTGTGATTTCCACTGTGATTGTCCACTGTAAACCAAAGCGTGGTGTTAGGAAGCTTATTATCCGAAAAGGATTTCTAAATATCGAAAAACATAGTAAACTTTTAAAAGAATGTCTTTCATCAACTATTGAGTAGATATCCTAACAGAATTGAAAATGCTACGGTTTCCTTTATATATTATATCGGTATGTAAAAATTCAAAACTTTATATTTAGTAATTGGAGATATTTTTATTCAATTTGATCTTTTACTACTTATTTGAACTATATTTTGAATACGTCATCTATCAAGTGCATTATATGTAAAGGAGTTCAGAAAAGAGTTCAAGAAGTTCTTCCTTAAATATGTGCGTTCCAAAATTAGCGTTTTTTTCTAAAAGTAGTTTAATAAAATTTTTTTAAAAAGTATATTTTTGAGTACATCACCTTAATCAGCCCTCCTTCAATTTTATTGGTCCTATTTTCTCCAAAAACAGATGTGAATTATCCATTCGTTGATACGGGCTCAAATTAGGATAATAACTATATACATGTATGTATATGCAAATATCTTTCGACTAATAAAACTTCTAACAGCATGAACAGTATTCACGGCCCAGCAGAAACATTGATGATGCTGACGAAAACGACAGAATTTAGATGTATTAATTAAGGGTGTACATACATATATACACATTTATGTATGTGGATACATTCATTGTACTTATCGCACGATGGAAAATTAATGAGGTCAGCTTATTTTTTCATTCACTTATTAGGTTATGTAGGTACAATATAATATATCATTAAACATAATGTTGGTAATGTTATGCGTACTTCCAGTTATCGTTAACTTTAACCCAGTCTTCTAACTCAAAAAAGTTCATTTGCTGTAAAGTAAACAAATTTGTATTGTACACGTCTACCTTATGATATATGTAGTCTTACAAGACAAAGGTAGAAGTAAGTTAGATGCCTTCTGATTACAAAATTAATGATTTAATTTTCAAAAATCAATTAGCTACAAATATACATATATACGAGTATAGACCATATTGTCTCCTTTAATACATCTTTTATATTTTTCACTAACTGGTTCACATGAGAAAATGGCCAAAATTTCACTCTTTTACAGATAACATTGCTTTTGCACGAAAATAAAATTTTGCAATTCAGTCGTGCTTCTTGCACATTTAAAAAAATGAGTTTACCATGAAAATAAAGATATTTTGATAAATCTGAGACTGCTTAAATGTAAGCAAGAAGTAAGACAACAAAAGAAACATATAACTACAATAGAAAATGATCTGCCTTTATATCTCGCTGCGGAGGCGATTGACGATTTTTTGCCAAATAACTTTCAAAGTTGAACTCATCACTGGCAACATTTTTCATACACATCATTTTCGCTGTTCCAAAGTACGACTCTCGTTCATGTTGGTTTGCTTTTGTTTAAGTATTATGTTCGAGTAGCGTGATAAAGAGAGCCATCCCCACGCTCTCGATGATAGCGCTGGCCGTAATATATTTGTAACATTGACTCCACAGGCGTTCTCTTTATTGAGTTTTTGCGCATTTAAGACTTTTGTATGTATATCTGCATATATTTATAAATCTATACTTACATTTGTATAGGTATATGTATTTAACTGTTCTTAATATTATATTTAAAATTGCATTAAATTAATGTTTACGATTATCATAGTTCTTTTAGAAGCCGCTCCTATTTGTGTGGATACTACAAGTTTTTAACCAATCCAAATTTATGGTACACACATTACTCAATAGTACTCACTCAAACTTTTATTTTGTTCACCGATATCGATCTGGTAGATTTAAAATATACATAGGTTTGTACATACTAGTTAGTATGTATACATTTAGCTCTATGCGCTTTCATGCCATATTCTACAAGTTGAGCTTGATCGCTATATATTATGTATGTATGTTTATCAGTGTTTATTGCAAATTGGTAGTAGAATTTATATAGTTCATGTTTCAAGGGCATTTCCTAAAGAGTATGAATGTAGGATGTCTACATTTACTTTTTTGAGTTTGCAACTAAAATGTATCTCTGTAAGTCTAATATTGTAAGACCACTGAAAGAATACGATATTTTTTAAATTTAAACTTCGTTTCAGTTGTTACCATATTGTATGTAAATATTAATACAAATGGTTTTGTGGTTCAAGTTTCAGCTTTGGATTTAATTTGAAATTTATCCTGCACAAACGAACTTACTAATGTACATACGTACATATTAAAGTCATCATAAATGATTCCATTTTTAAAATCGATGAAAATGATATAAGTACGAGTATGTACATAGATGTATGTATAAACATAGAAACAATATATAAATATATTTTTAATTATGCGTATATGGAAGATCATATGTATATAAGTAGATAATTGGTAAATGTTCAACCAGAGAATATTTGCAACGTGTTTCAAGCTGTGCGACTCAAAACTGGTAAATGAAAATCAAAAATATTAAGAGAAATGTTGACATTATCATTGTTTGCTTACTCCTCTGAAAAGAGTTAATCAATAAAATTTCATAAAAAATTTGATTCAAAAACTTTTAAATTGTTTACCAAAAATATTTCATTTAATTTCGATTTGATTTGAATAATTTTGTAAAATAATTTCTATGAAATAAATCATGATAATTTAGACTTTTGATCTACAACTAGTTCTCCAAAGATTATTTGATTGGCTAAATATTGGCCTTACCTCAGATATTAAATTTTTGACAATCTATTTTGTTGGAAAACAAATATTTCAATCATATGTACTTACATACATATATACAATACGTAAGTGTATGTACATATGTTTGCAAAAGGTTTAGTGAGTACCAAATTCATCGCAAAAATATTTCATTAAATTGGGTGATACGGTATATGCACATATTTTTATATTGTATACATGTGTTAATATGCTTAGGTTCATATATGTATGTAATGTATATTTTTGGTAATGTATACATGAATGTATGGATAGTAAAGCTTGACCCAAAAGTTTTTGTCAAGAGATGCACTCAAATATGTATGTACTTAAATAATACAGAGAGCTCAATATAATGCCATTGATTATGATGATAGTGGTGGTGAATTGCTGGTTTTCCCTTAACTTTGCAAGCTCAAACATTTATATTCTCTTTTCTTAACATTGCTCTCTTTCTTAGTCGTTGGGAACCATCGGACAGTTTACGAATAGAAGATGTTATGGAAAAGAAGACTACAAGCTAAAATCTTATTAATTATAAGGTAATAAGCATATTAAAACAATGCACAACGAATGCCTTGTTTTTATTTAACAATGCAATTGTGGGAAAAAAAGATTCGCATAGTGAATGCTATACCAATACTTGTAATGTCTCTATATATTCAGGTATTCGCAAAATTTTATCTCACCATACATCCATTGGCTACTATAGTGGTAGGAGTGTTAACTGCTTTAATAACAGAGTCGTCAACCAAAGCGTTAACATATTGCCACAGGTTTTTATCAACAAAATTCCCGATAATGATAAAATGGGAATACTAGAATTTTTTTTCTTATTCTCGGTGCAAATTCAGAACTTTTTAAAAGTAATATTTAAAAAAGTTGATAACGTTAAATCACATTGACTCGAAGGATATATGTATATTTTAATAGATAATATTGAAATTTAAAAGCAAAAATCAATAAACGCTCAATTTATAAATACGTTATTAATTATTTCTTTTAATTTTTGATTCTACGAATTCGAATATTGATTAAAATTTATTAATGTTGATAAATTGTGTTCATTCAAAAGTTATAAAATATTTTGACAATCCATGTATGTATATTTTTATTTTGATTTCGACAGATGTTATGGTTAGACTTATAGCTTTCACATAAAGTTTTTGTGAGGGTTGTTTTCTCTTGCAAATATGTATATATGTATGTATGTACTTGTATATTGTAATTTGGTTTCCCATTCGAACATCCCTTCATGGATGATGTCTCTGTATTGCTGTAGCTTTTTGGCGTTTGCGCTTTTCACTGCTATTGACCATGTTAGCATTTGCGTTCTGGTCTTTGATCATTGGTTTGATATAGTTTCACTACATTTTAGTCTCCTACCTTGATTACTGCTGGTGCATAAAGAAGACATCGTTTTCAAAATATTTGAGATTTTCCATTTCTCCCATTCGCTCTTATTTAACTCTCATTGGGATGTTGTTTCATGTTGCTTCGGCCAAATGTATGTATGTATTAAATGTGAATTTTTATTTTTGTATTTCGAGTTCATTGGAGCTTTGTTATACTTTGCGTTCGTCTCTGTTGATGTCTCTTTAATGCGTTGCAGTGGCTTTGCAACTTTCTCACAATGCATTAGCGCGTTTATTTTTTGATTCTCCTGTGACGGTTACAGCGGCTGTGACTCTACTGCTGGCTGACGAAATGTTTGATTAGGTGACTGCCTCGTTGGCTTGGCAGTTCGAGATATTGCTGCTGTTGTCGCATACCGGGAACTCCGCCGCGGCCGGCTCGTGCCAGTACTCAATTGTTAGCCAAACGCCACACGACCAAAACACGGAAGATTTCAGATGAGCATAATTAGCTATTGCGATAACGAGAAACCTAAATTCATACACGATTAGGGCGACACCTACGGCGAAAACGATAACACTTGCCAAATAACGCAATAGCAAGTTTAAAAACTTAAATTGAAATAAATCTAAATAATATAAAAACAGTTTATAAATGTATGTACATAGGCAAAGTTTCAAACAGACAATGTTAATGTTATGAGATATTGACGTCGCTGACGCTTAATGATGACAACGATTACAGCGGCGGCAAGACAACGCATTGCATCGGATTGAAATAGATAGTAATACGCAAAGTGGAGGTGGTCAAAGTGGCATCAGAAACCGTAGAGAAAAACAATAGTGCAACAACCTTAAACATAGAAACATGTAACATACATATAACACTAGATTTACAATTAAAATGTTTATATTTTTAAACTAAAATATGATATAGTGCGTACATATACATATGTACCTAAGTATGTAAATAAATCCAATGTCAGGAACGGGAGCCACACAAACAAAAGTTAACCCATATATTGTATAATTATTTTCTCTTTGTAAAAAAAGAAATGAAGATTTTTAATGCCAGAGTTTGCCCCACGTGATAATCGATTTATTTCGGGCTTTTGCTTCTATAAACTCCTTTAATTTCTAATGTAAATATTTCGGCAAAACTTTATATACAACAAACTAGGAAGGGCTGAGTACGGATGTAACCGATTATTTTATACTCTCGTAATTTATGGTAGGGTCGAAAGCGGAAAAATATTTGTAGGTTTTGACAAAACTGTATATTTAAAAATGTTACAAATGATGATACTTTTTGTACACAGTCAGCCAGAGGAAATGTGGATCTCATGTTCAGAATCTGGGGACTTGTTAAGTTTAAACCCGATTTTGACCGATTTTAGATTACAGCGGGCAACCTCGAAGGTTTTATTTAAGTTAAGTTTTATTTCGATATTTTCATTGCTGCTTGATTTATATTCCGTAAAGTGAAAGAATCAGATGAAACTTATAATTGTATTATATGGAAAATGGGTGTGATTGTAGTCCAATATTGCCTGATTTTACACAGTAAGGATGAAATGATAAAACATCTTGTATCGTCATCCTAGTCATTGCGATATACATAAACTATATCGGTTAATTTTATATGCTACAAACAACAGTTTAGTATATTTTGGTATTTACTACAACAAAAACATCGATAATTTGGGGTATGGTGGCCTTGTAGAATGTATAGGTCGTATATAATAGATACTGAACCCAATATTATAGTTTATTCAGATATTTTTTTACTAATTGGTGGAATTTTTTTTATCTCTAGCGCGATATCTTTACTAATGTAAAAAAATCCGATATATTCCTTTGATTAACGCTATTTTGTGGGCATGGTAATGGGTATGAATTTGTTATTATACAATACCAAAGCCCTCAGTTTGCGGACAGACAGATATCCGGAAATGATTTCAACACGTCCATCTGTTAATAATTATTCTTATGACTTTTTAACTTAAAGGATGAAAAAATAATTTATGATTGATTTCGAATACTTTTCCATATATAAGTATGTACATACACAGCAAAATACTTTCTTATAATCTCTCTATTTTGTAGGTTCTTCATTCTAAAGATTATAAAAGTTTGCTTTTAGCTGTATTTTTATATATATATACAATATTTTTATATTAACATTATCATCGCACTATATTCAAAATGTTTCGTAATTTTTAAAATTTTTATTTATATTTACTGTTGTTTGTTTTCACTTATGAAAATGTAAAATTAACTTCTTAATAAAGACAAGGGGTATAAAGGGTTTGCGCTTTTAGCAGCAAAATATATATATATGAATATTATTTTATAATTATGCTTTAACTTATTTTCAAATATAATATATGTACAATACATAAATACACAATATGATATAAAACGTTTAAATTGGGTAATATCATTTGTAATATTATCATGCTTAGTGTTAGTAAAATAAAAAAAGGATAAATGAATTTTTGTAATTTATAGCAACTGCGTTCAAATAACAAACTGTGTCAATGACATGGAAAATCTTCAAGTTCTGAGAGAAATCGAATCAAATAAAATACTGATTCGACGTTACATAGAAAGGTTTTAACGGAACACCTCGATGCTTCCATTTTCTATGTCGACTTGCTTTGGAAGGAAATAAGTGAATCATTTTAATGAATATTTGGGTAAAATAATTTAGTACCTTATTGTATATGTATGTATATACCATATTTAATAGATGCATACATGTATACTTTGTTAAACTTCAAATACTTCATTAATTTTTCATACAAATGTTTTAAAACTGTAATACATACATTCATATATGTACAAGTACATAAGTTTTTATTGTATAAATTATTAAATAATTTTTGATTTTTCGCATTATTTTAGCAACAAAAATTCTTAAAACGGCCAGCGGACGACGTGGATAATGGATCTGAAACATTCGAGCCGCCTCACAAACTGCCAAATAACAATAATAACTGTAACAATAACAATGGTTCTGAAAATCTAACCAAGTTCTCAGTGCATATTGTGCAAAAATTGGAGTTCACCACGTCAGCGGCTAACTCACAACCGCAGCAGATAAGCACGAATGTCACAGTTAAGGCGCTCACAAACACATCCGTGAAAAGCGAGTCGGACGTCGGTGGGAACGGCGGTAGCACTGGCGGCGGTGGTTGTGGTGGAACGACTACTGTCCCTGGCGGTAGTTCTGGTGGGCCAAATGATCCGCAAAGTGGCGGAATATCGAATAATTCTCGTGGAAACACTGGAAACAGCGGAGGAGCTAATGGCGGAGGCAATGGTTTGGGTGGTAATAGTGCAACCGGTAGTAATATTAACAACTTAATGAGTGGACATAACAATTCAAATACAACTCAGCAGCAACAAAAACTTGGTCTTGGTAGTCTATCGAATTTAGTAGAATGCAAACGTGAGCCAGATCAAGACTTTTCCGATCTGGCTGGATTGGAAAAAGATAGTGGCCCAAACAGTAACTTTCCCGGGTTTCCCGATCTTATGGGTGATGATATTATAAATGATCTACAGGATTTCAATCCGGATTTATTCAGTTTTGATGAGAAGCCACTTTTAGATATTAAAACTGAGGATGGTATTAAGGTGGAGCCACCAAATGCACAGGACCTCATTAATAGTCTTAATGTAAAATCAGAGAATGCAATGACAGATTTTAACGCAACATTTGGAAGTAGCGGTGGGGGTATGAATGTAAGTGGTACAAATAACGTACCTAACATGACGAATAATGGTGGTATGGGTGGGCCTATGAATGGACCTCCACATACCGATCCCCAAACCATGAACAAAATGCGACAATTTTTAAATGGTCCTGATAACGGTCAGATGACTTCGCTGGCTGCACAAACGCTAAAACAAATGGCCGAGCAACATCAGCATAAGAATGCCATGGGCGGTATGGGAGGCTTCCCACGGCCGCCAATGCATCAGTCACAGCAGGGGCAATTAATGGGTGGAGGTGGTCCAAATAATCGATATAATGATTATGGCAATTTTGGAAGCGATTTCGGCATGGGGTCCAATGGTTCGCAACAACAACAGCATTTGCCTCAATTTCAGCAAAAAGTTCCTGGCAATGGATCTATGGCTGGTTCCGGTCCATTTGTTGGCATGCAACAGTCTTTTCTAGATATTAAACAAGAGCTCTTCTATTCCTCACAAAATGATTTCGATCTCAAGCGATTACAACAGCAGGCTCAAATGCACCAACAACAGCAACAACAACACCACGCACAACAAAATCATCCACAACCAGCACAAAACCCGCATGGCCCGAATGGACCTAAAATGGGACCAAATAACGGTTCTGGTAGTTTCCCGAAACCCGGACAACCACAAACCCAGCAACAACAATACTCACCATATAACTCACCAATGGGAGCAACTGGCAATCAGAGCCCTGCCGGTCAATCATTTATGCAAGGACCGAATCGCGGTACTTCAGGATCGGGCGGAATTAGTGGGGGAGTCGGCGTAGGGAATAGTTGTAGCAATGGTGGACCACCTAACATGACGGCGCAGCATCCTCAGAATAGTACGCAACAACGTGGAGGACCGCAAAGCGTTCCGCCACTAAATGTCAACAATGGTACCGGAGGTATGGGTGGTGGTCCTAGTGTAAGTGGAGCGTCAAGTTCAAGTAATCAAAATGGGTCCGGTGGAGGCATTAATGCGGGAGCGGGCAATGCGAGTAGTTCACAGACTGGTCCAAACCTACATCAACAACAACAACAGCACCAGTCGACAACAACAACACTGCAAATGAAACAAACGCAGCAATTGCATATTACCCAACAAGGAGGAGCTCATGGGATACAGGTATGTATGTATGTATAAGGTTAGATAAAAAAAAGTAGAAAAGTTGAATATTATCGTATAAGTCAATGTCGTGTCGTGTCGGATTCAAACAAAAAAAATTATAAAGAAAAATAATAAACGATTGATTATATTTATAAAATAAAAGGTAATCATAATTTAATATATTAATAAAAATCTGCACTGACATATAATGCAGAGGCCTTACTTATTTGTTCAGCCTATTGAATATTGCTCATTTTCTATGAACATAATAATATAATTTTCGAAATTCGGTTTTAATTTTGATATAGTCACAATATGAATAAATATATACTATATACGTATATATTATGGATTTCTATAAAAATGCAAATTTTATATATTATATGTACATACATACATATGTATTTATAAAAATAGATATTATGGCATATTACATTTGCATTTAGTGTCAAACCGCATAGAAAGTGTGCTTTAGTAAAAAGAGGTGATGAATTTCGAGAAAAGTTTTAAATAAAAATTAATTTTCAAAATAACAGTAACAATTTAATTTAAATCAGATGTTATTGTGTAGATACATTAAATTTATGCACTACAAAATTTACACTGTGAAATCGAGAAAACATTTCTCTAGCCTCCCAGCCGTCTATGTAGATTTGACCGGAAACACCGTTCAAACTATAATTATTTCTACATTCTTTCCTACTCTTACTTTGTATGAAGAGATTTAGTCATCATTCATTTATAAAACTCTCACATTTTACTGTTTACGTATGTCGTGCTTGACAGCATTCTCTCGTATTGCGCTTGTGCTCACTATCTTCAAATACGACTCTCTTATATAAACGATTGCATTCAGAAAACAAGTGTGAGGAACCACCCTAACAATGTTGCCGATATTATTATTTTCCCAGAGTCAGACGTTTTATACGTTTTTACTTTATTACCAAGCGTTAATATAAAATGTTGTAGCAATTTATGTACACACAAACTATATCACTTATATCTAAGTACATAAGTAGATACATATAATTAGAATTTTGAATGCTATACCTTGCCACGAAGGAAGCGCACTTTACTTCGTTGAAGAATCGATACCCGAACTCTTGTTAAATATACATAAGGAGGTGGATTCGCTATAACTAACTGTGGTCAATTTAATTCATTTTTGCCTGTTGCTTTTGCAGTCGGCAAAAAAACAATATTGTGGCTCATAGTACATCTATTTACACTCAAAGCGAACATAAGTTCCGGCTTTTATGAATATGACCATTTGGTCGTGAACCAGCATCTATATATTCCACTTGATTAATTAATACGTTACTCACATATCGTGCGATTTAAAATTACAAATGAAAACAAATTTAAGGAGAAGAACCAAAGTGCCAACAGAAGGCGCCATTGAGTGATATGAACTTTAAGATGCAAATATTAGTATTATTAACACTTCCCCCAGCTTTTTCAACATTCGGTAATAACAGATACAAAAACCATCGGGATAATGTTAAATTACTATTAAAATAGTTTTCGTAGTAGTTTTCTCTTTATCGTTTTCTTTAAATACATGATCATATACATATGTATATAATATTTTTTCAATCTTTAATTGAAGGTCTCAAGTGGTCAGCATCTTCATTTAAGTGGTGACATGAAGAGCAGCGTATCAGTGGCAGCGCAACAGGGTATACAATTCTTTAATCACCAGCAACAGCAACCTCATGGGTCAGGCGCACAGCAACAACAACAGCCACATGGTCAGCAACAACATCAAAATACTCAAAATTCACAACAGCAACAACAATCTCAACAGCAACAAAATCAAAATTTAAATCACGGAAATGGTAAATTCTATCATACATATAATATATATGTACATATGAATTACTATATTTAAATTTGTAATCATTCACAGGACCCTCAGACGGTTTCTCCATTTCGCAAACACAGTCGCTGAATTTCACACAACAACAACAACAGCAACAGACACAGCAACAAACGACACAGCAGAATCAACAAATGCCTTCTAATATGCGTCAACGCCAAACGCAGGCTCAAGCTCAAGCACAAGCCGCAGCAGCAGCTGCTGCAGCGGCATCTGCGGCCTTGGCTCAAGTTTCTTCGACGAATGTTGGCTCACCTGTCGTTCCGAATAACAATAATAATACAAATAATGGTGTACCTGGAGGTGTGGGTAATTTAATGGGACAACAGTCAAGCAGCGTGAGTGGTAATGTGCATGGTGGATCAGTTGCCCAAAGCATGACGATAGGGGGAGGTGGAGCGGATGCAATTGGACCCAGTGGCATGAACAACATTTCGGGGATGGGCGGCAATGTCAGTATTGGTGGAACGAATCAAATGGGTGGCACTACTGGTAGCGGTTTAGGCGGAATGATGTCTAACAATTCATTATCGCATCTAAACGCCCAGAATGGACCAAATGCCGCTGCAGCAGCCATGATGATGGGTGCAACGCCAAATGGCGGGCCCCCGATGAATATTAGTCAAGCCAAATTCTTACAACAGCAACAAATGATGCGTGTTCAAGCTATACAACAACAGCACATGGGTGGAACGCGACCACCACCGCCCGAATACAAGGCATCGCAAGCTCAACTTATGCAAGCACAAATGATGCAGCAGAACGTTGGCGGCGGCGGTCGCTTTCCCAATGCTGCAGCTCAAGCAGCGGCAATGCGACGTATGACGCAACAACCTATTCCGCCCTCAGGTATGGATGAATTATATATTTTATGATTGAACATTAAATTAAAAGTATTTAATTACCGTATTTTTTTAGGACCAATGATGCGCCCGCAGCATGCGATGTACATGCAACATTCAGCTGCAGCTGGTTCACGTTCATCCATGGGAGCTTTTAATGGTCCCATGGGAACACAACAACGTCCTCCTAATGTTCAAGTTACTCCAGATGGTATGCCGATGGGTTCACAGCAGGAGTGGCGCCACATGATGATGTCGCAGCAACAACAGATGACCTTTGGTGGAGGACCTGGAGGTCCAATGAGACAAGGGACTGGGTCATTTGGCAGCGGTAAATATATATGTTATATTTCTACCTTAAGGTTAGTTATTTATTATTTTTTCCTTTTCCAATCAGGAGGCTTTTTGCCAAGTGCTGGTGGTGTTGGTCCTATGTCTGGGGGTGGAAACAGCGGCATCGGTGGTGTTCCAAATCATGGCATGCAGTTGACGCCATCACAAATTCAGCAGCAAATGATACGACAGCAGCAGGTCCAGCAACAGCAGCAAATGTTAGCGAACGCCGGTGGTAGCGGAGGACCAGGCAGCGTACAGATGCAACAAATGCTGCAGCAGCATCATCAGCAGCAACAAGGCGGGCCTGCTAACATGATGACTCAAATGCAAATGACGTCACTACACATGTCACAGTCGCAACAGCAAATGACAATGCAACAACAGCAGTTCGTGCAACAAACCACATCAACGCCAACCGCGCACCAACAACATACGCAAATGATGCAAATCAATCAGAATGTGGGGAGCAGCAACCAAAGTACTGGCGGAATGGTGAGCGGATCGGTAGGTGCACCTAGTATAGCCAGCACCACCGGTTCACTTGGATCGGGAACAAACAACCTTGGATCAAATAATAATAATATCACAGGAAATACCATGACTGCAGCTACAACAGCACAATCCACCAATGCACCTACAGCTTCCAATACTGCCAATGCCATAAATCAAACTATTAATTCAGTGGTGGCCAGCTCTAATGATTTATGTCTCGAATTCCTCGACAACTTACCGGTGGACAGTGGCAACTTCTCCACTCAGGATTTAATTAATTCGCTTGACAACGACAATTTCAATCTGCAAGACATTTTGTAAATCTGAAACCGAAGCGAACAGAAAACAAATGAAGTGACTGCTGTCAGGTAAACACGTAGTATTCGCCCCTTTGTATATTACATAACGGATCAAAAAAATTTTCATCAGCTGTGGGAAAAGAAATACTACTTCTAATCGAATTTGAGTAGCTTAATTTATACAAATGAGCCTATTCTAAAGCGGCATTACAAAATTAAATTATTTAGATGTGGCAAATTTATGCTGGCTACATGTCTGGCGTCAGTACTGATTTTTGATAAAGCCTCAAATATAAATGTATGAATAATTTGGTTCGCACTAATCTAAATTTGATTGCTGGTAATCTTCTTGAAAGTTAAATTTTAATAGTTTGCATTAATTTAACAACATTCCATTTGTCAAGAAAAATACTTTGTGTATGTACGTAAAGGGGATGGTTTAAATACACCCTCGCTCTTTATAACACACCTATCATTATTGTTAATTCAATTACTTTACAATATTGCTCTTTATAACTACATAGACATATGTATGTATAACATGTACTTAAAAGGCATTAGAAAATAAATAGAACATGACAGCCAGAAAAATTAGAGAATCCATATAGATATATGTAGATATAGTGTAGCATTCAGAAATTTTAATATTTTTGTTTAAAGTTTTGAATATTGATAATGTTTAAAATATATGCTCTCAGAAAACTTCTGCAAACAAAAAATCATATTGAATTGTATACGTTTTCGTGTAAATAAAACTTTAATAAGCAAAAAAAATTGGTGATATTTTTTCTATAATTAAATAATGTTATTAACAGGAACCAAACAAAATAAACATTAAAATATTTTGAAAAATATATTTTTACTCAAAATAAGAAAAAGGTATCTTATAATTTCCAACACGAAATTAAAATAAAAAAAACAGCGGCATAAGCAAATGGCAATATATGAAATTATTATTAGTTCTAATGTATGAGTTCCGTAATATTTTCTAGTATATAAATTAGTTCTAAGATAAACATCAAAGACACGCCCAGCATATGCACACTCCAAATTATATAAAACTGAAGTTCAAGCGCAAATAAATGTAAAGAAATTATAGGAACATATATTTGTAAAGATATTTGCAAATACTTAAGTACACTTCACTAAATGTTTGTCGAAAAAGCAGTTTTATTATGCAATCACAAAAGATAAATTTAATAAAAATGTAAAAGGTACATAATAAAGGAGACAGTTTTTAAATCATGAAAACATTAACAAATTCAAAATGAATAATTACAATGTAGTTGCTAAGCAAATAATTACAAAGTAGATTAAAATTGTTATATCAAATTATATACAACTGTAGATATATGTATGTATCCAAATAGATTTAAGACATACTTCCGAAATCAATAAAAGGGTAAAAGTATTCAAAATTGATATGAAATCATGGAGATTTATACTTAACTTCTACGAGTTTTGAAAATACACTTCCATTATATCACCTTAAGCAAAGATGAATACAATAAAATTAATTTAAAAAAATCTACTATTTTACAAGGAGAACAACGACACCTTTCTCTGATTAATTTTTTTTACATCTATGTACATAATTATTTTGTTTGATAATTCAGATAACTTCTTCCACTCAGTATATAATGGTCGCAAATTGTTTGAAAATTAGAAAAAATATGGTTTTAAGAGCGTTGGTGCTTGTTTAAGCAGTTAGCAAATAGTTCTTTAATAAAATCTTAGTTCGTTTGTGGCTAGAAAGGGAAATGAAACTTATATAAACATATGTATATGCTGAGAAATTTATGTTATCACCATGGAATAGACAAAAAGTTGTACAAGTTCTGCTGAAAAATACCTAAGGGATATTATATGTATGTCACTCTTCACTACCAACATATGCCTACAGTATATAATAATAAGAAACAGTCCAGACTATGATCTACAAGTAATAAAGTGATAAATAGTTTTTGTTTGGTCTATGCTTCATTATTAAACCTATTTATTATGCAGCCCTGGTAAAGAAAAATGCCAAAAATACATACAACATTTATATGTGTCGACACGGTTAAATTAAATTTAAATTTCTTACTAACATTGTACAACCATAGCTTTGGGAAGACACTAAATTATGAATGGATTATCAAAATAATGAAAATTCCCAAATTCCAAAAGAAAATACATCTAATTAATAATAACAATAACCACCAGAAATACAGATAAATTAAAACATTATTTACATATTTATCGCTAAACTCTAGACGTGTAGTGGAAACAAAAAATCGCAACAAGTACACTAATAGAATATCTTCTCATTTGATATACAAGAAACTTAAAATGATACATTAAGTAGCTAACCACAATAACATTTCGTTTTGATAAAACTAAATACATACGATTTTATAAAAATTCATAAAGCTTTTTATTTTTAATTCATTTACTTGGTTACATGTACCTTACTTTTTTTTTGCAATTTATGTATTGAAATACATTTTGAAATAATTTTGTAAAAGGGCTTAACCAAAACAACAGTTCAAAAAATAATCACATTTTATGAAAGCGAAAAAAAAACTTATTGTTTTATATATATGTATGTAAATGTGGTATTTTCTTGGGTATTATACAGGTTTGTTTGGTTTCTCTGTAGTCATCCTTTTTATATTATTATTTCAGAACAATAAAACAACTACACTTTGCAAAGTAATTTTATCATTTCTATTTTATAACAACACAATCTTCACAATATGCAACCACTTGTTACAAAAACAGTAGTAAGGAAAATATACTAGCTGCATTAAAAATAACTGAAATAATAATTATGCTAATAAAAACTACATATATCAAACATAAGAATACGTGACAAAATATTAATTTTGCAAATAAATATTAAAATAACTTTTTCTGTTTTTTTATTAAAGGAATAATTCATTCGCTTGATATTTTTTTATATGTTGCAAGGTTAACATGTTATTCGATGCAATGATAATTAGCTTATCTAATATTTAAATATAGAATGCCAATGAAATTGTGGTGTCCTATAATCCTCGCCATGGCGGCTACTTAGTAAATAAACCATTTTGTAATAAATAAGGCATCCCAATAGGATCAATAATCAATACTCATAATTTATTGAGAAATTGCATTAATATCCACAAAATTTAATATGATAGTATTTTATTTATTGTGATTACCACACCTATGTGTAATTTTGGTAACATTCTTTCTCAAATGTAAGTAGTCATCACGATAATACTTCAATTACCTGTGGGGAGAATCAATATTTTTTTTGTTTTAATTTATATTAAATTTAAATTATTTATATTAAATCTGACTCACCGTTTCCGATATAAACACGGCTTCAGAGAAAATGGCGGTATTAACACTATTTTTCCAACGTTTCGTACCTTTTTAAACTGAAAAAAATAAAACAACCGCTCATTAATATCTTTCTTAAGTAATTCGAATCCACAAGCTTCTAGTCCGCGTATAAATTGCCGCAAATCATCGAATCGTGATTGGATCTCCGCAATCATTACCAAACCATTAGGACGTAAAACGCGATTCGCCTCCAACAAATAATCTTTTAGATTCGTTCCCATTAATGACAGACAATAAACGGCTATATCTACCGACTGGTCATTGAGTGGCGTATAAGCCATGTCACATGCTATTATATGGTTTCGTGTGCTCACCAAATCCATCGAATACACCTTATTAGGCAGCATCGTAGCCAAACGACCTTCACCGCAACCGAAATCTACAATTTCTAGGGATTTTGGTAACCGCTTTATCATTTTTATTATACGATCAAGTGGATTCAAAGGCCATTTTTCCACCTGCTGCTGATATCCAGCGTGATAGGCATTAAAGGCCTCGACATCACATTTGAAAAATTCATTCGCGCCTGTACTATCCATGGTATATAACTGTTCGTTTATGTAACGAAAGCGTCCACCTAACAGTTGTTGCTTTAGAGTGTTTTCAAAAGCTTTTAACCCAATGTCCTGGGAACTGGTTGGTCTAACTACTTCACTCTCAGAAATATGATTTTCTAAAGAAGTACTAGCCGATCCAGTCAATTTTACAGCTTCCTTAGAAGTTGATGCGATTGGTACACATTTACTGCGTTGTTTATTTTCCTTAAGATTTAATTTGGTGGACGATAGCATATCACCTGAATGAGGACCAATATATCCGGACGTAAGTACGATCTTAGCCTGTGATAGTGGATTTTTATCGACATTTTTTTTGATAATTCGACCCTTGTGGACTTTTCCACGTTCCAATCCACTTTTATTGACTTTTGGATTAGCCAAATCTTTTGCTTTATCCTTGTCTGATTTGGGTTTCTTGCCTTTCTTCTTTTTTCTAGTACTTAATATAGCTTGGGAAGACTTTACTTCATCGCTGCCACCGCCCAAAGATACTTTTGAACGGAACTTCATTGCTTCTGCTAGATTCTCCCATGATGTAGGTACAAAAAATTTCGGCATTTTGTGACTTAAAAAATTTTCAATTTACAATTAAATGAAGTTTATTTAACAGGCAATAATATCAAGTGTAATTTGTGTATAAAAAAGACAAATCTACACTCTTGGAAAAGTATCCAACTGAGAAACAGACTGCAACAAAAAATAAACAAAAATGCTACATCACAAACACAACTGCACGTGCCTTAATTAATATACAGCAAACAGCTGATAGCGTTATTTACCTAAATTGTAATAGATCGACAGAGATGATCTGAGCCCAAATATATCTATCGTAATCGAACCATAACCAGAGAATGTTAATGAATTCATTATTCATTAATGAATATACAATTTAGCTAGATTTTCTCTTATAAGCAGAGAATGTTAATGAACAGAGAAGGCTCAAATGTTAGCTATTCTAAAATGTAAATTATTATTAGGGATCATCGAAAACGCACGAGTTCGAAAATAAAATTTCACAACCCTATCAGGGAACGTAATGAACTAAACCTATACTATATAACTACTGATGTTCTTTGGCATGCGCATGAACAAAAATCAAAATAATAAAAAGGAAAATAATTGACTTACGACAAAAAAATTAATAATGAGGGAAATAATAAATGAAGTAGAATTAAAATGTCATTTAATAAAAAAGAATAATGTCTGTTATGAGCATTTAATTATATTCATTCATATTAGGAAAGTACATACATATGTATGTATTTGGTATACAGAGACTGGGAATTCTATAATGAATAAAGAAAAAATACTTCGGCTGTATCGATGATATAATACCCTACGCAAGTGTCAGTTTGAAAAAGTATGTGCTATACTAGTCCGATCTGAACAATAAATTAGGAGATTGAAGCATTGTCTTGGACAATAATAGCTGCCAATTTTGGTGAAGAGTTGTATATTATCAAATAAAAAAGTTTTCCATACAAGAATTGGAATTTGATTGGTTAGTTTGTATGACCGCTATATGCATAGAGGTATGACATAGGCAGTTCCGACAAATGAGCAGGTTTTTGAGGAGAAAAGGAAATAACTCAGCTTGTTACCTGATCATTTATCCGACATATGTACATATGTATGTTACACTTCATAGGGTATCCGACGTTTTCTTCTTGTTGTTCGTGTTAAAAACTTTGTGACAAACTTAATATGCCCTGTTAAGGGTATAAAAATCGTTAATGAATTCAGTAACATTCTCTGGTTGAAATATTCCTTCTTAACCATAATTTAGAACAATTTATTTATCCATTAATTCTTCAGACTCTCATGGTAGGAAACATATGAATGTACATACATATGTATATTGCTCAACTCTTCTTATCGCTGGCTTGAAATTTGGACTAAAAAGACTTTAATAAACATGTACAGATTTTTTTACAAAATGTTGTATTTGTTATAAATCTTTTTAGTTCATATTTTTGCTACTGCTATTACTTATTTAATAAATATTGGTCCAATCACCTCCATATAAAAAATTTTTTGTTTTTAACATGCAATTTTATTAAGAATCTGTCTTATTATAATGACAACATGTTAGTTTGCTGTGAAATACAATTTTACATTAATGAAGGCTTAGAAGAGTTAATTTACAAAGATGAATCTGAAGATGAATTGAGATTAACATTTTTTTCACGTCCGCCATTTTGTGAAAAATTGATGTAGCACTAAAAATTTAGGCACTTTACTCGCAAATTTAAAAAAAAAAATTTTTATGTTTGTACACTAATTTCTGTAAAATGCAAAAATGTTTTTCTCAAATTCCTGAAATCTCAAATTCGGCCCGTACGTGCTATATCTTTTTTTACACACCACATGAGGCCAGTATTTTTTTATTTTCACACGGTACGTTCTAACAATGTTCATAACCATATAATATATTTTGCCGCCTTAAATTCTCACAAATAATTTGTTCTCTATAAATGTATGTACATACATATGTATATATGTATATGTCTATACAAGGGAGTGATTTTAATTTCGCGTTTTGAAAACTTATAATTCTTTCAATACATTCATCTACGACTTTGATGGATTTTATAAAATTTAAGATTTACTTGTGTATACTGCAAACATAAATTCTATGTCTTTGTTCAAATAATATATTGAATCTTTCTCTACTGGTTTCAAATACTGTTCAAGTCATGAAGATTGTTTATCTCTGTCGCAGGTAAATCTTGATACTTGTATATGTTAAAAATTAGTAAAATAGTTCTATACGAATTAACAACTAACCGTATTAATAAACTCCAAACATAACCTAGTAAATTTTTGGAGTTTTTATAAATATTACTGATGAAAAGATGCATATTTAGGCGGAGGTGGACAGTAAAATATAGAACCGGATACAACAATTTTTTTACGTATCGTACATTGTATGCATGCATGGAGTTTTACAGGGTGTGTAATCAATAAGCAATATCAACACGTCACTGTGATTTTTTATAAATGTGCCTAAGCAAACACAAACAACAACAATGAAAAGAATTTTTCAATAGATAATTCATCCAATGAAATATTCAAAGCATTAAAAATACAATATATAATTATTGAAGATAAATTTGTTTATCATGTTGAAATATTAGTAAAAAAATGTTGTATTTGTACAGTTTCATTGTCACTAACACCCGTTGTTATTTTTATTATGTTTCCATACCCAACATTCATATGTATGTATATATGTAAAGTGTGCAAATACGTACCTTAGTTTGGAAAATGACATTTTTGCAATTAAGCATTTTTTCAACTTGCATTCAAGGGAACTTTGAAATTTTATACAATATTTAATGTATGTATGCATATACATATATACTTACATATATGTGAGTATTTATTACTTGCTCCAATACACTGGATATGAAATCATACATATGGTACATAAGTATATATATTCATTAATGCTTATTTCGGGTATTTGGATCTGAGAGTTTCTAGACAATATGAAAGAAATAGAATATCCGTTTGCACATAAATACATGTAAAAATAAGTTTATATTTATATTCGTCTGTATCAAACAAATGGTGTGAACAGGAATGACATTGAAAATGTTGTGCAACTTAATGTATGGGAAGACAAGGAAGGGTGATACAAAGCCGATTAAAGTTTGAAGAAGTCGAAAATTTATAAGTCGAAGTAAAGACTTGCAATTAGTCTTTGTATTTAAGTGTTGATGTGCAGTTGCCAATTAAAATGTGCCTTATGAAAGTATGTTCGAAAAAGGATTGTAAAAACGGGGTGCGTATATGTATGTAAATGATAAACTCTATATATTAACATAATTATTATAATTCATGGATTTCACTGTTGTAAATTAGAAAATGTGAAGAAAAACTGAAGTCGAATGGAAATCGTATCGCATACAGGATATACCTATACAATAAATCGGATAAATACAATTTTATAATTTATTGGGGTATTTTACTAATTTGTAATTAATGTTTTAGTTTTAAATACTTATGTACATATGTATATGAAAGTCTTCCGGATTGATTGTAGGGTTATATGTATTATATGAATGTGTACGACAGCGGCAGTATCCGACAACATGGAATGGAAGATTGCTTCTACCGGTTGCTTAAAATTCCGTCTGACGTAAAATGCAAGCTTCTAAAAATCTTATCTCGGCGGATATTAAACAAACAAATACATCTCTATGTGAGGGGTTGCTGAGATGTGATATAATTAAAGAAAAATTATTCTTTATCGGCTTAGCAACGAATTCTGTACTTTTTTCTATGCTCCTAATACATTTATGTTTCTTTGTTTTGGCGAAAATATTGTATAGTATTTTAGATACAGTTATCTAAATTTCTTTAATTTGCATTTATTATGTTTAGTATAAATAGTTTGCGTGGATTTAAGATCTTGGGAAAAATTAAAAAACAAACCGAAAATTAAATACCGGAGATCACTCGTGAATAATATAAGGAATTAGGCCTTTGAGAACAAAACATGAGTTTATACTAAAAATATTTAACATCATATATATATTGAATATATTATTGTAGCAATATTTAAAAGGCTAACAAAAGTGTAGCAGGCGTGTTATGTTTAAAGTTCGTGTATAAAAATTTAAATAATTTGTGAATTTTTCACATTTAAAACACAATTATATACAATACATGGCGTATGAGTAACGTTGACATTTTCTATTTTATTGGTTGGAAATATTTATAACGAAACCACACAAAATTTTTTCTTAAAGTCTATAAGGTAGAAAGTGCAACTATAATTAATCGTTACAAAAATGTAAATAAGTAATTTTAATAACTTTAAGTACGTGAAATCCGCATTTTAATTGCAAAATAAAACAGAAAGTAACACCGATACAAAGAGTAAATTGATATTTATCTGCGCCCTGTTAACCTGGGAAATTGCTACTACCTCGCAGTCACGTGATTCCTTATGGTCTTGATAATAGTCAGGAAACGGGAATTTTAATCGATATTTCATGTGATGTGACGTAGTGGAACATTCCTGATGTTACTAACAACAATTGCGCTTTCATTAAATATTGAAGATCCTACACACATACACACGATACACATACACTATAGATGAGCAGCTCATATTATTTTAATATAAGAGAACAAAATTTAACAAACACACATAAGTAATGATGTCCCGATGCCCGAATGTAGAATATCATCATCTAAATTCAGAGTTATCGGTGTTAAACTCATGATTTTTGGTTTCTATATACATATATGTATGTACATTGCATTACTATGGTATATAAGTATGTAAATTTTACAAGAACGCGTTTAGAAACATATTCCCAATAATTACAAGCATTTGAAATATTTTTGTTGCATCAAACTGATGTTGATATTTTACTTAAAAATCTTAAAATATGTATATACATACATATACGCAATTTCGTGCAGATGCTTTTACTACTTTTTTCTTCAATGGATGGATGAATAGTTCAAAACTATTAAAAAGTCCATGTTTTCAAGTCAAATGTTAAATTTTTTTTTTATTTTCATTTGCACAGTAACTCCACTTAAACAGAATTTGAAATATTTACAGCTCGAAAAGATCAGTATTTTTCTTCTCAGTTCTTCTGAAGGTATACCGAATTAAGTGTATTACCTTCTATGCAGCTATATAAGTCGTCGTCAAAGGTAATCTTCATTTAATATTTATATCTTATGGAAAATATAAATCTCTAGAGTTAATTTAGTGAAAAAAGTCACTTTGGCGATCGAGGTTGGAAATTGCAATATACTTG